TAGTCCTTTTCATCGCTTTCACATCTATTTGTTTTCGATCAGTTCTGGTCCAAACAAAAGTCTAATTTCTAATTTTGAGTCTAAATTGATGTTCTTCCTGTCGTAAATTCTATTATTGTTGTGTCTTCATCTTTTTCTTCTTTTCTCTTTTTTTTTTCATTTGTATCATGTATTTAGCAATGGAGAAAGAACGAAGAAGGATTATAGCTTAAGGATACAACAAACTAAACCATGGTTTGAGGGTTTTAGAATGAGAAATTGATAAGTGTAGAAGATTATTCTATGAACTTCAACCTTCATGAGGAAATAAGGTATAATGCCAAAAGAATTAAAGATGAAAGAGAACCATTGTGGTTATCATTCAAAAATATATACGCAAGTGGTTAGTATAACGTGTGTATTTGAAATGCTTATTAGTCACTACTTTCATATAACGTTGTTGGAGAAAGGTGTTAGCAATGAAAGAATACTAAAGGATTAAACAAGAGGCTAATGAAGTCACTACTAATCCTATTCAAGATTCGAGGGTGAATCTTCTTGAAGAGGTAGGGAATGATATAGTTTAGGTTCAACCTTGGATTCCTTATAGTAAGCATTCAGTTATGTGTTCAAGATTAGTTGTTAATACGGTTTAGTATATAGTTTAACCTAGGGTTTTTCATGATGAGTTTTTAACTAAGGATGCATTCGGTTAGATTGAGGTTCTTATGGATGACGAGATCGGCCCAATTCTTTTTGTAGGTAATTTGTCCAAATCAGAACAAGCTATGCATAAGATGTTTTTAGATAGCAAATAAAGTTTATTTAGAGTATATTTTTGGTTTGATTTAGTCCCTATTAATAAATATGAGTTTGGGCCACAAGAGGTCCAGAGTTAGCTTGGGTTAATTAAGATGTTAGGATTAGATCAGATTTATTTAGGGTTAATTTTCTAATTGCATAAAGACTTAAATCAGCAAAATATTCTCCTAAATTCAAGAAAATTTTGTTTATTATTTTGCCTATTATTTAGAAGAATATTTATCAATAAATGAGAAAGTTTCCTATTCAACAAATAATGTTAAGGGGCTACCAGATCTAATTTCATAAGCTAGAAAGGAAACTAAATTGGCAGGTATTAAAAAGAAAGATTTTCTTTATTAATTGTCCATGTGTAACAAAGAAAATAAAAAAAACAAAGTGAGAAGATTTCAGAATTAATTCCACATTCAAGTCATATTTTCTAGCCTATTTAGGACTTATTAAGGGTGGAAAATATGATTTTAGCATATTTAGGATATTAATTTCATATTTTTATTATTTTCTTCTTAGTCTTTGGTTTATTATTACTTATTTGAGTCAATTTTATAAGTGAATTCAATCCAACCTATATATAAGGATCCATTAGGGTTATTTGAAACATTATATAAGTGTTTTGTATGCTAAAAAGCAGGTAGCCATGGATTTATAAAATAAATTTGTGTTTTGCATGATGCACATTATATCTGCTGGGACAAAGATCAAATCTGACTTATCAAGGTATAAGTGACCTTGTGGCATCATGCGATTCAATTTCAATAGTGTTAATGTCTTATGAAAAATTTTCATTGTATCACACTTCTCAAACTTGATTTTCAGCTTTTCTAAGAAAATATCATCTTTGTCGAGAGGAGAACCAATATTTTGTTGTAATATATTTTTGTATAAAAAAAATGTATTGCTTAACTTAATTATAGATAATGTAAAACATTTGACTACTTTAAGTAAGTTTATGGTTGTATGTTTATTCAAACATAATTACACTTTAAAAAGAAAAAAGAAAAAGACATATGTGTCTTGAATATATCTCAAATTATATTAATTGTAAATGTTTGTTCTATCATATGTTATGATAATATAATGTCAAAACACTAATTCTATTGAGAGATTATTGAGTAAAATGGGAAGTTGATGTTATAGTTAAGGTATTTAAGCCCAGATGATGGGATAAATACTATAATTGATGTTTACGGGTTGGGAAACTATCAACTTGGTAATGAAAATATAGAGAAAACTTTACTGAAATTTTGATAAAATATGTATACATAAAAAAAAAATGAAGTTGTTACAATGTGTCTAACCTGGATCGCAGGTTAATCTAAGTTCACTCAAGTTTTTTTTTTTGTTCTTTTCTTAATTGAATATATGTTTTACCAATTTCATCTTTTATTGTTATGTTAATTGAGAATTAAATTTTATAATTTATTTTAATTTATTTTTTATGAGATTATTATAGTTTCATAACTCGAGTTATAAGTATAGCTGATTAACTTAAGTTTATCCAAGTTGATCCAATAAGTTACTATCTCAATATTTTCTTTGAAAAATATATCATTTACTATGTCACCATCATAATATTTTAAAGATACATCATCTAATATGCGTTAGATATGAAATTCATTACAAACATTTTAAAAAATAAAACATATATTATCAACATCTAGATATTTTTTTTACATTAAATAAAAAGCTAACCCATAACATAATATAAACCAATCTTGGAGTTTCCACCTAACATTCATGGTGAATTCCAACCAATTCCAACCAAATACCATTAGCAACCAACAAAGTTAATATTTCAAATCACATTTATTAATGTTATCAAAAACCCGTGAACTTAAATCTAACTTTTAAAATCATTTTCCAATACTTTTTAAAATAAAAATACAATTTATATTATATATATTTTTGAAAAAAAATTATCTCATTTAAATATTTATAATTTTCATATGATAATTTTTTTTAATGATATTTCATCAAACTTAATAATTAAATTATGTGGACCTTATCAGCTAGGCAAGGGGATGTCTTGTTCCTTTATGTTAGTTGAATTAATATTTTTTTGTGATGCCAAACATTGTTTTTGCATTATTATTATATTATATTTTAAAATACATGGAAAAATATTATGTTGGTATTGTGTATATAGAATGTTTGTATTGTAAATTATATTATAGATATAAATTATTTGTATTGTAGACCACATTGTAGATGTTCAGGAGCCCATGAAAGGTGATGTCTTTTTTATTTTTTATTCCAAAAGCTATTAACATATGTTGGGCCATGACATGACCACCTGACCCAAGTATCATTGGTACGGCATGGTTGTCATATCAAAAATTCTAATTAAATAAAAAATTAATTAGAATTTTTATTTAGAATACTTTAAGGATAGTTTAAATTTTTTTATAAAAAAATAAAAAACAAATTATAAAAAAATTGATTCAGCATGGCCACCAAACCCAAGAAATGTTTATAAAAAAATAAAAGCAAATTATAAAAAAAATTAGAATTTTTGTTTAAGATACTTCAAAGATAGTTTAAAATTATTTTTATAAAAAATAGAAAACATTTATAAAAAATTATTTATGATAATTTAAGAGTAATTTAAATGATTTTTTATTAAAAAATATAAAAATAATTAATTAACATTTCTGTTTAGAATATTTCAATGGTAGTTTAAATATTTTTTTATAAAAAAATATTAATTAAAATTTCTATTTACGATACTTCAATGATAGTTTAAATATTTTTTATGAAAAAATAAGAACAAATATAAGCAATTAATTAGCATTTTAGTTTAAGGTACTTCAAGGCTAGTTTAATTTTTTTTATAACAAATAAAAATAATTAATTATGCATGACTACTAGACCTAAGCTTTTTTATAAAAAATTAATAAAAAATTTAATTAGAATTTCTATTTAGGATACTTCAAAAATAATTTAAATGTTTTATAAAAAATAAAAAACATTTATAAAAAATTATATACAATACTTCAATGGTAGTTTAAATGGTTTTTTAATAAAAATAAAAAAAATTATAAAAAAAAATTACTAGCATTTTTGTTTAGAATATTTCAAGAGTAGTTTAAATGTTTTTTTATAAACAAATATAAGACATTTATAAAAAAAAAAATTATTTATAATACTTCAAGGATAGTTTTATTGTTTTTTTATAAGAAAAATAAAAAATAAATAAATAAACATTAGCATTTTTGTTTATGATACTTCAAGTATAGTTTAAATTTTTTTTATAAAAAATAAACCAAATGGAAAGGAAAACTAATTAGAATTTTGTTTAAAATACTTTAAGGACAATTTAAATGTTTTTTTAAATAAAAAATATTTTTAAAAAATATTAATTAATATTTCTATTTAAAATATTTAAAAAGTAGTTTAAATATTTTTTATTAAAAAATTAATTAGCATTTCAGTTTAATGCACTTCAAAGGTGGTTTAAATATTCTTTTATAAGAAATAAAAATATTATAAAAATAATTATTTAGATAAGGCTACTAAATCCAAGTTAATTGTGTTTGATATGGCTGGGGGGGGGGGGGAAGGTGGTGGGTGTGGCTTTGTTGCGAACTGTCTTGGGTTTAGCTTGGCTACTAGATCTAAGTTTTTTAAGTCTAGTATAATTGACAAACTCAAAACACTTAAAATATTCTTTATATTTTTAATATTTATTTACATATAAAAATAAAATTATTATTGACCCGCTGCAAAACCCAACTAATATGCCAATTTTTTTAAAAAAATAAAACACACCAAAAATATTTTTCAAAGTAAATCCATTAAATTCTATTAATTGCCTAGAGTCTCAAGATTCAACAGGTTTTGCTAGCATTGAACCATTGAGACGTGAGAAATCTAACCAATTTTCTTTCGACTGCAACATGGATATGATAAATTTACAGTCTGTTTTTAGAAGAGGAAGCGGAAGCGGAGGCGGCAGGCATTCTATATTCTCGTTAAAAAAAAAAAAAAAAAAACTATCTTAATTAAGCCTGGTTGCAGGAAAATAATTTTTTCTAAAAAATAAATTATAAAAAAGTAAAATTTAAAAAAATAAATTATTTTTTAATATTTAGTAATATAGTAAAAAATAGATTGAAAAACATTTTTCTATATTTGGTTATATCATGAAAAATGAGATAGAAAATAACTTATTAATATTTTATTGCCAAGTCAAATTTTTCTTTGACTAGGAAGTGTTTTTCATTAACCAACTTTTCTAATGACAAATAAATATAAAAAAATTTAAAAAATAATTTTCTAAAAAACAAATATAACTTAAGTATAAATTTAAAAGATGGGTGTTTTTTACTGTGTCAGTATGCATTGTTTATGTTCTCATATGTTACTATAGATTGTACTATATATTATAGATTGTATAAAACATTTTATTTTTTTTAATTTGATCTTCAAATTTGTTTTTTTATGATTTAATCTTAATTGAAGTCTAGTTAATTTTGATTTTTTATAAAATAATGGGATTGAAAAAAGAGAGATTGAAATGAAAAATACATTAAACATGGATGGTGTGTAAAGAGTTAAAAAATACATTTTAGTCCTTCAACTTTAAAAATAACATAAATTATACAATTTGTTACCTCAATATTATTCAAATTCAATTTTAGTATAAAAGTTTATTTTTGTAATGTTTTAGCATCTAGTTGAGAAAGGAGAGAGAGAGGTCGCTGAATTTCAACAGTAGATAGAAAAACATGTCATTGACATCGATTTAGACAACCAAAACAGATGATATTTATGTCAAATAGTTCTAATTGATGAGAGGAAGTGGTTTATTTTACTTTTAATGTGAAAAAAATAGATCTAAGCTCAAGTTAATTTTTAGTTTCTGGTTGATTCTAATTTTTTAAACAATTTTTAAGGTTTTTTAAGCTATGGTTAAGTTTATCATAGTTTCTAAAATATTTTATAGGTGTTTTGGGTAAAAATAATGAGTTGAAAATGAGTTTTTGGGTGAAACAATTTAAGCCCTAATTTTTTAACAACTACAACAGCTAGAATCTAGGCAAATCAGACTATATATCATCTAATATTTTTTTTCAAATAGATTTTCCAATAAAAAAATAGATACTCATCCATGCAAGCCTTGATAAAATAGACCAAGTGGGCAGCAACACCTAATTTTTGTTTTTAGTTTTTTCTAATTTTTTAAATTAAAAATTTTTTGTGGTTTTTTCTCTAACATTTCTTAATTTATATTTAGATTAATACTCCTTATCTCTTTCATTTTGTTTAGAGGATTATATTTTAAATGATGATTATTTTTTTAGTTATGCATTTAAATTTAAAGAGTTTTTTTATTTATCTATAAATTTTTTTCTTTTGTATAGATGAACTTTATTTTTAAAAATAAAAAAATTTATTTTCAAATAATATTTTTAATAAGTGCAGTCTTGTATAGTGTTTTTTTTATTTTTAATTTTATTTAATCAATTTAATTTATATCTTTATTTTTATTATCATTTGCTTGAATAACAAATTATTTTAATAAATAAATTTAACAAACATAACCAAATAAATATCTTATCTTTTAAGATTAAATATTTTGATTTATATTTAATTTTTAATTTTTTAAGTTTTATTTTTAAGTATTGTTTTGACTTTTTATTTATTTATTAGCATATATGATTTTTAATTTATTTGATTATATATATTTAAAAAAAATATTTAAACTAAATTTTTTAAATTATAAAACGTATTAAAAAAATTTATATATATAATTTTTTAAAAAAATAAAAAAAATTTAACCCACGGCAATTACAGATAACACAATTAGTTAGATCCAATACTTGCTGCTGCAGCAGTAAATTACTTTTCTATCTTTTCCAATGGAAATAAATAAATAGCAATAGGGAAGGTGTTGCACATGACAACTTTCCCAACCACCAGAAGTCTTCCCTTCCAGAGAAAGAACGGTAGATGAAAACTTGAAATGAACTAAACAGCCTCAAAGAAACCTTACAAAGACGATTGATTCAAGTGTAAATTATATTTATACAGAGAGAGAGAGAGAGAGAGAGAGAGTCCTATGTATTAGTCTTAGCTCTGCTTTCTGTTTTGGTTTTGTGTAGATTCAGAATGAGCTGCTTGTATGAAATTAACAGGTGGTGGAGAAGCCACGTAAATCTGTGGACACTGTACTTACTGTTCCTAGGTCAGATGGTGTCTTTTGTGCTTGCAATGGGCAGCATCACTTCTTCTCTAGTAGCCAGTCTTGGTAACCTCTTCACTGCTGCTCTGCTGCTGTTCTTGTTAGCTTTATATATGAATTCAAGATATTGCATGTTGTGGGCATCTGGCTGCAGGTGTTGACGCGCCCCTTACACAATCATCCTTCAATTACTTGGCCTTAGCTTTGGTTTATGGCAGCATATTGCTCTACAGGCGCCAAAAACTACAGGTTTCTTGCTCTTCTCCCTTTACTTCTGGGGGGGAGGAGGGAATGATTAACATGTTTGTGTTGGGATATTCTGCAGGTTTCTTGGTACTGGTATCTCCTTCTGGGCTTAGTTGATGTTCAAGGAAATTATCTTGGTAAGTAATGATGGCTTTATTTCTCTAATCTCTCTGGGCTTCCACTCTGCATAAATCATGCTTGCGTTTCATTAATGGTGGCTTATTTCTCTAAGCTTTGTCTCCTTTCACTCTGCATAATTAATCATGCTGGCATTTCATTATGTGGGTTAACATCAAGACACCTCCGAGATTAATGGTTTGGATAGTGGATGTTTAATTTAATACCAATTGCCTTTCAATCATTTTATTATCCTAAAGAAAAAGAATGACACGTGCTGTCGTTCATACCGCAGCTTCAGTGAGCGGTGCTTGCTGGTTAGAGTCATAGGTCCAAACCACATGGCCATTTCTGCTTTGGGAGGCGATGTTTGTTTTTCTGTTTTGAAAATATTTTAAAATTTTTTATATTGTTTTGATGTTTGATATTAAAAATAATTTTTTTAAATTATATTTTTTTAATAAAATACTTTAAAAAAACTATTATTTTAATAAAAAAAACAATAATATTAATACCATCGATCCATGCTTGCAGGATAATAGTAATTACCCACCAAAAACACCCATTTGAAAGGTAAATGTACCACCACCCTCTTTCCTCTTAAGAATTCAACTCGTCAATAAATCTTACTACCAAACATGACCTTACTAGCCCTACCTTATGGCTTCTCCTCTTTAAGGCATCAATGGCAAAATCGCATCTCATGATGGGTACTCAAAACAAAACCCAGCCATACGAGGCCCGATAGCAAAATGGGGATACACGCCTCCCATCCTGTAAGAAACTAAACTATACATTTTTTTTCTTGAATAATTTATATTTTAAAATAAATGTATTGTTAGGTTTATATTTTAATTATATATATTTAGCCACTCATGAAAATATACTACTAAAATTTTTAGATTTATCGATAGAATTTATTATAGGCATTTATTTATACTCACAACCCATCTGCAAAAGACCTACTAACAGGTTCACGAATAAAAATAATTTATTGGAAAAATTGTTGTTAGTGATTTGTAGTTTGTTGGTGAATCCGTTGATAATAATTTTAAACAATGATAGTGACATATATAGTAAATTTTTTCAACTTTTTAGAATAAACAATGGTAGTGACATATACAGTAATCACTTTAGTAATAATTTAAAAATATATTTTAAAAGATCTATTAAAAAAATAGAAAATAATGAAAAAATAAATTAATATAAATTTAAATATTTATTATAAATTTAAATATTTATAAGTTCAAATGGAATCAATTTAGAATAGAAGTGTTGAAGGAGTAGGGTCTAGATTGTGGGTTGAATAAAAAGGAGCACACATACTACTCATTTGTGATCTCATCTTAGCACCAATTGATAGAGTTTGGTCGTCTCACCATTGAGTTATTCATAATTAGCAGCTAGATGAATCGTTCGAGGTTGAACTCGCTAGTATAGAATAGCCTCAAACTCTAGAGTTTGAATGCTTGGAACCAATTGCGAGCATTCGAAGATTGAAACACTATAAGTTGTCCTCAAGTCCTTCGTCGTAATGTTAAAGAGACCATACACTTTATTTTTATTAGGTCCAACGAACTATCCTACCTCCAACCACAAATCCAAATCGAGATTTAAATGAGTTGAAAGATTGTCATTGTATCTCTCCTTCAACCGGATGTTATAAAAACTTAAGAAAAAATAGTTGAAAATAACATACCACAAAGTGTTAAGCTCAGCTATGCACAAGCTATTACACCCTTTTTGGCGATTATCAATCCACACATACATTTCCATAAAAAGCTTCATCATGGTTGGATCATGTCCAAGAACCATAATCAGTAAAAGAATATTGTTGTTAGTTAAATATATTTATAAAAAATAACAAGTAAAAAATGGATGTAATTGTTTCGCATGCGAAGCAACAGAATGGAGTTGCTGGTGTGCATGGTAATGAAACCATGAACACGCTGGTTCTGCTTCTTTGTATTGGAGTGTGATTGTCATATAAAATGATTGAGCATCACATGCTGAATAAATTTTGCCCACAAGATCTTTGAGATATATAGCAGCCTGAAATCCTTCCAAACCATCACCTCTTTCCAGTTTATAAGCTCTTTTTTATATATATATATTTTAGTTTTTTTTTACATCTCATGCCAAAAATCATGTAACCTATATGGTACAAATAAAATATATGTTAGTAAATGAATAATAAAATCGAATAAAAGGATTAAAAAAATTATCTTGATTTCAATCTACAATAGCATTGTCAGCGGATTAAGAAAATTATCTTGATTTCAATCTGTAATAGCGTTGTCAGCTTTATTAATTAGGATGTTTGGAAACCTGACTCTATTGAAACATGAAATTTTCAGTGATGATTTCATTGTCGATGTTATGGTTCTGGCAGCCTCGATGTATGTAAACCTAAAATTTATGATGCTGCTTTAAATTAATTTTAAGAAAAAAAATATTAACATATGGTCATTGATGTGTTCTTTGTCTTTCTATATTTTTACAATGACAAAACAAAGATATATTCATTTTAGTCTTGATTTTATCTTTTATCTTCCCTTGCATGTCCATAATCATGTTGAAAATATTTTCAAACATGTTATTTTCAATGTTCATGGTATCAAAGTTATGACAGAGTAAATTAGTCTTCCAATAAGGAAGCTCTCAAAAAATATTTTGTTTCATCCAATTATGAGTCAAACCAAAAATAGAAAACTTTTACTTACCAGATTGAAGATCAAACACAATTTTATCATACTCTGACTCCACATCATATAAAATCCCTTTTAACTTTACCAACAAAAAAGTTATTTTTGTTCTTTCTGTACTTATAATCTATTGGCAAGAACCATCAATGGCGTTTAAAAAAAGAACATTTCACTATCATTTGTTAACGTGACGGCCTTGTTATTTTCTATATAATATGGACAAGCAATTTTTTCATGCATGCTCAAATAAAAAACTATTTCATACACAGAAAAATCATTAAGAGTTCACATCAAATCTGCCTTCATTTGGAAATTATGTTTTCTCAATATATCATATGTCAAAGCTCCAAATGACCACAACTACTTCAACTCATCAATCAACGAATGAAGACAATCATCATATTCTAACCTGGACTATTAGGATTGGGTATAGTTATAGATAAAAATATGAACTTAGCCTCATACACATCCCTAGTGGCAAGTTGTAAACTGTGAGTATTGTGAGTATCAACTGCCAACAAAAATAAAGAGCAACAAATAACTCGAATGGATTGAATTTGTTTATATATAATCCAAGACACATGTTTCTTAATTCCACTGAAAACTTAGGATTCACCCTATTAAAATGTTTACAGGCTTTTCCATCAGAATGGTGTATCATCACTCCATCCACCGCACCATGTAAATGATGTTAAGTCATGTACTTAGTAATTTTTGATGACATGAATAACATTTACAATCTAGGTGTGATTGGGAAGTATTTAAGTTTTATATGTGGAACAAGAGTCCTTTTCATGCTGGTTCTGGGTTATAACGAGCAAGCCCACATGTTTTGCACCCGATCAACTCTGCATTTTCAAGGTAGTACAACATGTAAAAGTTTGGATGCATGTTAATTTTCTAACATCCTAGGTTGAAGGGTCTCAACATGGATTTAGCGGCATAAAAGTTCTCCTTCAACCTATTCCTTTCAGGTAAAATATTTTTCACCCATTCAATAATTCTGCATAATCAGCCTCACTTGACCTATGATTTAACTTGGTAGTGAACACCTATGTAATGGTCAATAATTTACTATAATCTATATACTCATTTACTATTGGACGCTCGTGGTTTGTCTAAGTATTTTAAAAGATCAAAAGACCTTGTCATATTTGTATTAGGTTCTTTATCTACTATTAGATATTAACCAGTATAACTCTGATTCATTCTCATTGCATATCACATCCATAATTATATTGCTATAAGGACTACTATTGTCATATACAACTTCATACATGTTGCTCGAGCTAAAAGTTAACTCAACTATCATTTTTACCATGGTATCATAAGGAACATATAGTTTTCCATGCTCAAACCAACACGAGTATCCTTCTATGAACTTTCTTTAAAAAAGATGTATTGTTACAACATTTGGATTGATAATTTTTTTTATTTTTGCACCTCTTACATGAATATTTAATATCGCCTCCACTAATATTTATCATATTAGATATTGAGTAATTAATAAAACCTTGAACCTCATTACAATAATTCATCATACGCAACTCTTCAGGTGAATCTCGATATATACATGAATGATCGTCTATTACTTATATCAAACCTATATAGAATATTTATAACAATATGTATTAATTAATTACATAAACTAAATAAATAAAAGAACATTACTCAAACTTACTCAAACCCTTTTAATAGTACAACTAATGCATTATCAATTATCTATTTAAATTTAAATTTCTATATATTTATCAAAAATTTAAACTCAATTATAAAATTAACAAAATATAAAACAAAGCTATTAAATTAACCATTATTTATTTCATCACAAAAAACTTAAATCACAAAATGAAATTAAATATCATCAATTTACAAGTAAATATAATTTTATAAAATTTCAAACAAATCCTAATAAAATACATATATTACAAAAATATGCAATAAAATTTAACATTTTAAAATTGAGTTAAAATAAAAAAAATAGATAGTTTTGCTTACGAATCGTCAATAAAATTTAAATCAGAATAGGGATGCTGACAAATTAAGTATTGAGGTGGTTGAATTTATAGTAGAAGACTAATTTATGATAAAATTAAGGGGGGTGTTGTTTGTTAGAGAGAAAAATAGAGGAATAAATAAGAGATGAGAGGGGAGAGGAAGGTCACTAGTTAAACAATAAATTAAATATCACAAACAGATTTAACCAATAA